AATATATATATATATATATATATATATATATATACACACATATACACACACACACACACATGGAAGCTAACAAGGAAACTACTAGACAGAGAGTACAATCAAGGGGACCAATGAAACAAAAGGACTACAAAGGGACTACAAACTATAACAGGAAACAGGAGACTGGAAGTACAAAATAAAAGTCCAAACAAACCGAGAACACGTAACAAGCATGCAGATGAAACTCAGTAAACGCTGTCATGTTATTTTGTGCTCGGATGCCTGATGTTTAGTAACATGATCGTGTGAGACAGTTCTGGGAAATAATTATACAAAATAATTTTGATGACGGACTTTTGCTCAGGTATTTAAGAATTATTAAAACAACATTTGAGAAAGTGTGCGATGAGATGCGCTGCTTAATCCATTTATCCTAGGTAAAGTCACATGAGTTTTTGTTGCGCTTTGAGGAACTTATTCAGTAAATGTGTTTCCATTGTAGTTTATGTACATATTTTATTATTGGCTATAAATACTTACCTCAACTGAACACATACGTTTTTTTTTATGAAAATCCAGCATTTTTCTATGCAATATTCCAAAATTCACATAAAAATACATTGATGGAAACATCGCTATAAAGCCAGGCACAAAAAAATGAGTTCAACAAACTGTCATCCTATGTGAGGAGTAGGAGACGGATAGATGCTAGATCTATTGTATTTCTTGGTCCAGTACTCTGTCATGGTGCGATCAAGCAAAGATGAATAGATGTGGATCTAGTTGAAACTTAACACTTAATTAAAAAATACAACAAAGAAAGAGAATCCACAAATAGTGAGAAACAATGACCGCAGTAGCTTTACACGACATGCAAAGACAATACCAGAAAAGGAAATAAGAAAACTGAGGACATGTAAATACACAGGAAACAAGGAGCTTAACAAAACACAGGTGAATACAATCAATCAACCAATGAGTAGCTATAGAAACCAAGGGAACATAGGACATAGGGACTTCACATAGGAACAGAAACCAAAACAGAACATGGCAGATTATATGTGCATATATTTTCTGTGTCATAACCATGGTATGTCAACTTAGTCACATACTGTAAATAAATTGCCTGCAACTATTTCATTTTTTTTCTCATTTTAATTTGGTCCTATTAGCAGCTGGAAACACCAGAAAAAAAAACGATTACTTTAATTAATTTGGGTATGACATACAAAATATGGTTATTTCATGGTAATTTTATGGTTCTGTAAATTACATTATTACTATTAGAGTGAATGACATATATTTTGGTAGTTTAACTCATTCATCTTTGTTTTGCCAGGCAGACAACGCTCTCAGTGTATCTGCTGTCGTTTGTGGGGATGGTGATCTACGCATTCACCCTGAACTTGGGTCATCTGTGGGTTGTGTTCCTCACATCAGGACTGCTGGGGTAAGAGTTGCAGTGACACAACCTGCAGTAGACACAGAAGTGTTGTGACATTTAAGGCACACTGGAAAAGAAAAGGATTTTCTTACTTAGTTTTTGTCTGGTTTTCCATTACAAATATCTAAACATTTTTAAATCAAGATACATTTACCTGAGAAGAAAAATGACATGAGATGTTAAGTCTTGTTTTCTGGAAAATGTATCAAAATGTTAATGTTTAATTTTTTTTTTAAATGTATCAAAACTTAATTCAAAAAGAAAACGCTCCGGTTATTAACATAACCTCGGTTCTCTGAGATATGGGAACGAGTGTTGCGTTGAACACTATGGGTAAACTCCTGTTTACTCTGAATACTGAAGCCTGATTTGTTCACATTCGTGTAGCTACACAAACAAATGGTGCTTCAAACGGCCAAATGAGGAGGAGCCGACTGCTATATGAGTCTGCTCTGAGCGCCATTTCGTCAGAATCTTTCGACTGATAGCGACAGTCATTGACTGAAATAAGAATTATAAGGCTGCAGCCTTGCAGTCTTCTGGCGACTTGTACCAGCCGCTCAGCTGGAGCGCTTCGGCAGGAAGTGACACAGGGCCAAACAATCCCTTGGGAGGGATGGGGAAGTCAAGGAAGCAATCTTGTCAGCGTCCTTGATTTCCGTTAGATTTAGCCAAAGGTAGCGCTCTAGAAGTTTGGCCTGGAAAACTTGGAGCACCACCATCATGTGAAGTAGGGGGTGTGCCATGTTCTTCATGAACCTCCAGGAAGAACGGGGTGGGCCGTTGGCAGGAGGATCATTGATGGCATTCTTGCAGAAACCACTCGTCTAAACGGCCGCGGGCAGGTTCTTCAGGAGCAAACCAGTCCAAGCCGAGGTCCTCCACAGCCTTAGAGAGAACGTCGATCAGCTCGCAGTCCATGCTGGCCCGTGTTGCTTGCTTTGGAGGGAGGGTGTGGTGGTCTTCGCTGGAAAGATATGCCCACTCTTCAGCATCCGAAGCTGTCAGTGACATGGAGTCGTCAAGGACAACTTCCTCCTCAGACCAGATCAAGCCGCTCACAGCTGACAAGGGGCGCTGATCCTCACGTGTGAAATCGGCGAGATGAGTGAAGCACACGGGAGCTGAGCCGGCGTGAGATCACTCGAGCACGATCGTTGAGTCCAATTGCCCCACTGTTTCTTCCTCTGAGGCTCCTGAGAGGGAAGAAAAGGGAGAGCTGACTGGGGAGGACCAACTGCATGAAAGAAGGCAATCCATGAGCGATGCAGGGTGAGACTCTTGCTCTAACAGTGAGAGCACTCTGTCCTGGTGAGCGTAGCTTCAGCGTGAGCGCTGCCCAGGCAAGCGATGCACTCACCGTGCCTGTCTGAGTCATACATGGGTTCCCTGCATGAGCCACACTCGTGGCGTGACATTTACAACAACGTCGCTGGAAATTTGCTCAGAAATGTGCTCTTATTGTCACCGGATGGCCACAGGGAAAGCGCTTGTTGGAGGCGTTCTTCCGCTGCTGGGGCTTTTCCACGGCGAGCAGGCTTCGAGCTTCTTGCTTCGTCTTCAGAGTCCATCGAGGAGATGATCTTAATGCTGAAGGAGAAAAATTCTGAGGAAATGCGCTTAGAGCAGACTTATATAGCAGGCAACTCCTCCCCTTGTGGCGGGTTGAAGCCCCATTTGTTCATGTATCTACATGAACGTGAACAAATCAGGCTTCAGTATTCAGAATAAACAGGAGTTTACCCATAGCGTTCAATGCAACGGGAGAGACCGTTCAAAAGGGAACAATTATCCGTGCTGGTCGCTGAGGAAATACTTCAACTTCGCGTTGTGGACCGTGCCGTTCTCAAACTCGCCGCCTCCGCTCACTCTAGCCCGCCGTGTGTGGCGCTGTGTGTTTCGTTGTGAAAGCGAAACTACTTTGCTTGGCCTTCCAAAAGAGGACACAACTAGAAATCAGTGGTTAAGTTGTATTTACAACACTGTTCCAGAACAGTTCAACCCAAATATTCAGATGTGTGCAGCGCATTTTATGGAGGACTGTTTCCTGATCCTGGTAGAGTAGACTACAATGCCGGCTGTTCTGACTCACAGACTGTAAGTACGTTTTTTATATTAAAGAATTTGCCACTGACGATTCAAACGCGAGTTTTGAGCAGTGTAGAGTAGCGCTTGTTGTTTGTCATTTCTCCAATCACAAATGCAGACATTGTTTTATGTTTACGCGGCGCGATGCAACATGTAAAAAGATAATATATGTCATTATAATTCGTAAATGTCCCCACTGGATGCAACAAATGCCTCGTTTATAATGGGTTTTAATGTTTTTGTCTCGTTGCTCCGGCCAGACAGGGCATCACAGTATGGTAAGGGGCGTAACATTTCCGTCACACGCTTCAGAGCACACCTCACTTTTCAGACCAATGAGCTTTGTAAAAATCGACGCGTTTCAGAAAGGTGGGGCATAGAGGAGAAACAATAATGTACAGTATGTGGAAAATAATGTGTTTTTTTAACCTTAAACCACATAAACACATTTCATTACACCAAATACACAAAATAATGTTCTTTTTAGAAACATCATATGACCCCTTTAACCTACTGTTAGATATTTTTTCTTCTTTTAAGCATAAACTCACTAAATTCTGATGTTTTTCAGAAAACAAGACTTAATATTTTGCTTCTGAATTAAATGTCTTTATTTAAGAATGTTTAGATAGTTGTACTGTAAAAGACAAAAGAAAAGAAAACAAGATAAATAAATAAAATAAAGATAAATAAAATAAGACAAAATAATACCAATGTTTTGCAGTGTAGACAACAAAAGATCAAAACCAGTGTCATTAGTTAAAAATAAATACAGCAATTATAAATAAGTCCACTTTTCAAGCAAACCATTTGACAAAAATAGTTTGCTAGTTGTTGAAATGATAAAAAAAGTAAAATTATTATGAGACTGTGTGGTTGCCAAATGTTCCTGAGATGTTTTTTAAAGATTAAGGTGACATTGTTACACTGTTATTACACAAATAAGCACTGAGTAATATTTATTAACAACATGTACAGTACTTACTATAAAGTTAGGGTTTGGTTCATGGTTAGTTGCTTGTAATTATGCATAATTTACAGTTTTTACTGTAGCAAGTACATGTAACAAATGTAACTGTCACATTAAAATAATTTGTTACCAAAATGTAAGTTTGTGTCTGTTTAGAGAAAAGTTAAACTTTTCTCAGCTTTGTCACAGGACACGCTTACATCACATTTCTTCCACTCTGACCAAAGTGCACATGTACCAGTGCTCGTGCACAGGTATAAAACATGGCAGGATTTGGCAGAACAAATGTCCATTTCACACTTTTAAGAACCGACATCTAATAATGAAATATTGTGATTTATGAAAGATGCTTTTTGCCCCATGTATGGTTGTTATATCATCAAATAACTGGACTGTGCTAACCAGCCAAATCTTTACCTCTTGATTTCTACACAGACTGACCATAAAGTAATTATATGGATCCACATCTAATTATAGTTCAGTCATGACAACTCTCTGAATAGTTTTAGCAATGGATAAATGACAATGTTAAATGGATATGACAATGTTAATGATACTGATACTGAGCAAGTATGGACCTGCTGTAGCAACTGCTGATAGATACACAGACATGCTGCTGTTAGGATGTAAGATATGCTGCTGCTGCATTGTAGGGATTTCTATCATGAACGGACTCTGATATGCCACTGCTCATCATGAGATGACGAACCAATCTAATCAAGAGATAACACAGAGATCTTTTGTATCAGGACTACAACTTACAGATACCTCGTGATGTCTTGTGACCGCCAATGAATGAACTACTACATCCAACAGGAAGAGGACGAGTAATTTAATCACACCCTCAGGCTTGCAAAACAACGGACCTAAAGAACAGTGATAATGTGATTAAATCAAACTCAGCAAACCACCGCGTGACGTGTATGGACCTCAGGAAATTCCCCCTCCCTTCCTTTCTCTATTAGCAGAGGAAACGCGGAAATTGCATGGACCAAGTTTAAAAGACAACATTTAAAATCATTTAAAGTATCGGAGCAATATATTCACAAATAATATGTTTTATGTCTGATATATGTGTGATGTGTTTCCTGTAATCGGTGCAAGTTTAACCAATGTTGTATAACACCTTTTAGTAATTAATATTATTAATGTGTATACAAACTACCCGATATTGAGCTTGAATGAAAGCTTGTTTTATTCGCCGAACATGGGTGTTAGTGAAAATTTTATATTCTGTATCATTCTCTGGTGATAATACTTTTATCAGAAGTTATTTAAAACTTCCAGACATCACCGGTCTACCGGAGTACCCCCGTTCGAGATGATGACGGGGCGACAAATGACACTACCGTTACACCTGCTTTACCAACCTGGCTACCTAAACCTCGTCACCGCCCATACCACTCACCAATACTTGGAAGACTTGCATCAACACCTGAGAACAACGTTCGCCTTCGTGCAACAACAACTCCAAAGAAGTGCGGAAGGTCGAAAAGCCTACTATGACCAAAAGGCCTCTCACCAGGAACTTCCCTCTAGTCCCCTCATCAGGGAACTCCCTTAACTCAACTTTAAATCCAGGTCCCGAAACTAGGATTGACTCCTTTTGCCAAAATGTTTTTTTTGTCTTTTCGTAAATCGTTGAAACCGATGGCTAGTCAACACCCCAGCGTGTACAGCTACCCTCATGTATTGTCTGGTGTCGTGACATTTTAAAGTGAAACCTTGCCAAGATCATTGCTACCTAGCTCGTAGCTTACAAATTATCATAATTGTATTGACCTGGGGCCAGGGAAAATACACACAGTCAGATTAAGATTTCGAGTCCTTTCAAAACCTGAATGAATAAAATTAATAATAATTAATTCCCTTATAAGAATTAATGAGTTAAATTCCTTACAGTACAGCATGGATAGGCAAAATTGTATTATGTTTTATGCGGCAGTCGTCCGTGAGGGGCTGCTGCTTTTACTTTCGTTTTGTGTTTGCTTAAATGTTCTTAAATGAGCTTTTAACTTTGTTACACATACATAAATCCCATAGCAGATCTAGACAGGTGGTGCTGGGGGAGGTGGAGGGTTTCAGATCAACTCTGATGGTGTGTAGCAGCACCAACATACAGTGAACACTAAACCTGACTGTTGAAATGTTTAGATTGGTCATTGACCTATTAGCTTGCAACGCCTAGAGTTTCATGACTGAACTAGATATGTTTTTTTATGTTTATGTGTGCTTATGGATGACTGATGAGTGACTATTTCCAGTATCGCTGCATATAGTGCAGTAGTTTGGACCAGCTGATTCTTCAGTCTCTTCTGTCTTTGGCCGCAGGTTCTTCATGACGGGTTATCTGCCGCTGGGCTTTGAGTTTGCAGTGGAGCTCACGTACCCAGAGTCAGAGGGAACATCATCTGGACTGCTCAACTGCTCAGCGCAGGTCATGCATCTGCTCTTCACTTTTAGATATATGGATAAGTCAAATCTAAAAAGACATTAAAGGGACCTATTCCCACTACTGTGAATCAATGCATGGTTGCAAGTTAAAAATCCTAACTTATTGATTTAATTAAAATGTCTATTGACATAATACGCGTTGATTATTACATCAACTTAATATTTTCACTTAATCATGTACATGCTAAATAAGTTATATTAGTTTAGTTAATTTTAACTGAAATAGATTAGTTGATTCCAGAGCCACCACTCAACTATGTTGAAACTTAATTTTTTTGAGTAATCAACTTAAAAATAGGTTCTTATTAGCATGCATATTACTAGCATATTGGCTGTTTATTAGTACTTATAAAGCACATATTAATGCCTTGTTCTGCATGGCCATATTTTAGATCCCTTAACAACTATACCTTATGAACTAATAAGAAGCAGCAAATTAGGGGTTTATTGAGGGAAAACTCTTAGTTAATAGTGAATATGTGTTCCCATAATCTAAAGTGTTAAATAAAATGTGTTTATGCTACAAATTATTAAGTTTCCCAGTGTAGTTTGTTGGTTGAACAATTTCGGTAGCACTTTATTTTACAGTCCTGTTCTGCATGTACATACTATGTACTTGTTAGAATAACTGGTTAATAACTAGGTACTAACCCTGAACCTACCCCTAAACCTAGCCTAACCCATGTAGTTACCTTATATTATCCAATACTTTCTTAGGTAAGTACACTATAAGTACAGGTAAGTGCATGTACTCATTGCTGGGTAGATTACTTACAAACTGTAGTCTGTTTCTGATTCCAAATTGCATGACAAAAATTGTATTTAGTAACAATATAATCAGACAAATTTTTTATTACTTTTAGATTACTTTTGACCTTACTTGTTTATCACATTGATTTAAATAGGATAATCAATCAGGGTATCTTCCGATCATTCATTTTTTAATTTAATATTGAAATCTGAAAAATGCAAAAACTGCACATTTTTTCATTTTTCATTTGTTCAAACAAAACGAAAAATCAAGAATTTGGCTTCATTTTTCGTTTTTACGTTCAGAGTAACCTGATGAGTGACTGGTCTTTCTGTGAATCTCCATGAGATTTTCTGAATGTACAGTATATACAGTATAAAGTGGTAGGCTATTTTAGAAAGTAAAATTTAAAGGATCAAAAAGAAGGATTAGGGAGAATGAGTAAATTATTAATAATTTATTGCTATTGTGTATTTATTGCTATTATGTAATCATATAATCAATAAAAAAAGTAACTGTATTCTGATTACGAGTATTTTAAAATGTAATATAATCTAATTACACATGCATAATGTTTGGAAATTGATTACGTAATCCAGATTACATGTAATCAGTTACTACCCAGCACTGCATGTACTGTAAAATAAAGTGCAACTGTAATTTCATTAGAAATTCCAGATCTGTTCAATTAACCTGGAAACTGTGTAAATCAAATGAAACGTGAATTTACATGGGACTACAGCCAACTTAATGAGCACCAACTTTCAGTAATGAGGAACAGAAGAAACAGAGATGTATAAAGATAAAAGCATGTTTATGGTGCATGACATGTTGTGTACAGATGTTTGGAATCGCATTCACCATCCTTCAAGGCAAAATCATCGATCACTTCAGCACATTGGCCGGAAACATCTTCCTCTGTGTGTTCCTCCTCATCGGCTCCATCATGACAGGTAGAAGCTCATCACATGACCACTAGATAACCACTTCACTCATTTCCTGCACACGTGGTGAATAGAGCATGACTTAAGCATACCATGAAAGCTCAGACAGTTAGAGCCGTGGTGCTTGCAACACCAAAGTCATGGGTTCGATACCTAGGGAATGCATGAACTGATAAACTATAAACCTGGAATGGTATGTAAATCGCTTTGGATTGTGTCAAATGCATAAATGTACATTTTTGTTTTAATTGTGTAAGAGTTGTTGCACTTAACAACTTTATCAGTTTATGTCTCTCTGCCTCACAGCACTCATAAAATCTGACCTGCGGCGACAGAAGGCCAACAGTCAACCTCAGACAGAGGTGAACGCTGTAAGTATGTTTTAGTTTGACCTCTCTCTCTTCACCAGGCCTGGATCACCGTCAGACGGGCTTCGAGTGACCATCCGTCCAACATTTGGGGGACAGTCCTGAAATGGGAAACTTTGTCCTGCATTTTGCAAGTCATAAGAAGTATCCTGCATTTCAATTTTGTCTGTATTGTTTTATTTCCCCTTAATACGACAATGTCATAATAAAAAAAGTTAATAACAAATGTAGGGCTGTCGATTTAACATGTTAATTTAGGAGATTCAAAAGTCTGCTGTGCTTGATCTGTTGAGAGATTTAAATGTTGCTGTAAAGTCTTATGCTCATCTGAGTGTTCAAGATAATGGTCAGGTTTGTTCTAAGTGAGAGTGTACAATACTCTAAAAGCATCACTGAACACTGGTTCTCTGTGAAAAATAGCCAGCTGTCTGTGATGGGAGTTTAATTAATTAATTAATTTTTTAAAATTTTTGTGAGTTTCAAATGTCAGTTAGCAGTCATTTAAAGGAACACTCCACTATTTTTGAAAATAGGCTCATTTTCCAACTCCCCTAGAGTTAAACAGTTGAGTTTTACCGTTTTCGAATCCATTCAGCCGATCTCCGGGTCTGGCGGTAGCACTTTTAGCTTAGCTTAGCATAGATCATTGAATCTGATTAGACCGTTAGCATCTCGCTCAAAAATGACCAAAGAGTTTCGATATTTTTCCTATTTAAAACTTGACTCTTCTGTAGTTACATCGTGTACTAAGACCGATGGAAAATGAAAAGTTGTGATTTTCTAGGCCGATACGGCTAGGAACTATATTCTCATTCCGGCGTAATAATCAAGGAACTTTGCTGCCGTACCATGGGTGAAGCAGGCGCAATGATATTACGCAGCGCCTGAAAATCTTCCCCAGCACGCTCCCTGTGCAAGCAGGTGGTCACGTTGGTTATGTTGGCGGAAGTTAGCCTATTTTCAGGCGCTGCGTAATATCATTGCGCCTGCTGCACCATAGTACGACAGCAAAGTTCCTTGATGATGTTGAGAAATGGCTTTTATTTAATTTAGTAGCAATTCTGATTTCTGGCAGAATTACTACATCATGACGTCGTTTCTTACTGTGGTTGAAAATGACTTGTATAGTGGTAAAGAACAGCACACAATTAAATCATTCTGACAATAGGATTATTTTGAGGTCTCCATGTCGCTAACTGTTCCAGAAAGCATTCAGAATAATGAAGCGGCTGTAGTCACTTATGAGTTTATGTCTTGGCGAGCAACTGTCTATAAATGTGACACACGGCGAGGCAGATCACTGGGGTCTAGAAGAGAGTCAAATACACAAAACAGGGTAGAAATTCAAGAAGAAAAGAGAAGAACAACAGATGAACTGATGATTGCAAACCGATAAACAGATGTTTGGATTAACAAAAAAACTCAATGGGGCCATCTAGTGGTCATATAGGGAGTGGTAAGAGCTCAAGGCTGGTGATAAGGAGGTTGCCAGTTTGATCTCTTGCTGGGCTAATAGTGACGATTAGGTCTGACAGAGGGGCAGAAAGAGCTGGAGGCCAGGAGACCTTAACCAGTGACAGGACAAACTCAGTACTTAACTGCATGAGAGAGCTTCAGGTGTGAGAGACTGGCACAGCAAGAGCACTCAAAGAAAAGCAAAAACCTAAAAACATCCATAAACCTCAGGTGTATTTGTCATCTTAAGAGAAACATCAAAATTAAACACAGTGTGTACATAATGCAACATGTCGATATGGCACAAAAAACAGTTGGGGCAGAACCCGACTATACTAGAAGTGAAAATAAGTTACAAACATACAAAAAAAAGTGTGCAGGCAGTGAAATAAAATAATCCAATATAAAAAATAGATGCAAATAAAAATAAGAAATAAGTGCACACACAGGTCTCTTAAAATACATATCAGATTGGTTAGTTTTGGTCAGTAAACTAGATCAAACAGTCAGCACACCAAAGACTCAGAGACAAATCACATTTTCTGCTGTTTGAGCAAGATGTGTGTCTGTGAATAATAATAATGTCAGTATGTAATTAGATGTTTCTTGAGCTCCCAGCAATTCATCATTCATTATATTTGCATTATAGTTGCATAAAGTCATAAACACTATATAACACTATGTAATCTACCTGATCAACTTTTTTTTTTTTTGTCGTAAAATATAACTATATTATTGTACAGCTCTTTATATAAAGTGCATATACAGTAGAAGTACGTCCGACTTTATCCACATGCACTTCTGTTCAAAAGTTTGGGATCAGTAAGATTTTTAATGTTCTTTTCAGGAAGCCTCTCATGCTAATCAATTGTGCATTTATTTGATCAAAATACAGAAAAAAACAATCATATTGTGAAAAAAGTGCATATACAGTAGAAGTACGTCCGACTTTATCCACATGCACTTCTGTTCAAAAGTTTGGGATCAGTAAGATTTTTAATGTTCTTTTCTGGAAGCCTCTCATGCTAATCAATTGTGCATTTATTTGATCAAAATACAGAAAAAACAATCATATTGTGAAATATTGTTGCAATTTAAAATAACGGTTTTCTATTGTAATATACTTTAAAATATAATTGTTACATGTATGCTTTGTTCCCGTCTGTGTGTTTTGATTAGTTATGCTGTTCACCTGTTGCCTCCTTAATTAACTCATCAGCTCCTCTGTTTGCTCCGTGTGTTTATTCCCTTAGTTCTCCCTTTGTCTCTGTCCATTCTCGTTGATTATCATCCTTTTGCAAGTGTTTGGTAATATTTCTCTGAGTTTATTATATATTATTATCTATTCTTGTGATGCAAAGGTGAATTTTCAGCATCATTACTCCAGTGTCACATGATCTTTCAGAAATCATTCTAATATGCTGATTTGTTATCAGTGTTAGACACAGTTGTGCTGCTTAATATTTTTCTGGTATCTGTTTATTTTTTGTTTCTGATGAACAGCAATCTTACAGTTTTTTTCTGTATTTTTGATCAAATAAATGCAGCCTTGATGAGCATAAGAAACTTCTTCAAAAAAACATTACAAATTTTACAGATCCCAAACGGCAGTGTATATACAGTACACTTATGGATATAGTATATTAGATCTCAAAATGTAAACTATATTATCACACAGCTCTAATCAGCTAACTGCGACTGTTAGGCATGAAGATATTATGAAACTATAAACATTAACATCATGGTTTTCTGTAAAGCTGCTTTGAAACAATGTGTTGTGATGAGTGCTTTACAAATATTTTTTTTTCCTTTTTGTACAGTTGTAGATTTCTACAGTCAATTTCTGTTTGCATTAAATGCATGTTTTATGTTAGTTTATGTCAAAATTATTTTAGGGTTCCTTACTGATGTACAGTTGTTAATGTGAACAGATGGTTAATTTACCGTTTGTTTCTTCTGTTCAGGACTCATCCTTACATTCCCAAGATGGAAAATCATTACCGGTAAAAGAGGTGAAGATGTGAAGATGGAAACTATTGGAATCACACTCCCTTCTCTCCATATGAACCATCATACGCATAAATCCTCCTGAACTTACACAGCCAATATCTGAACAATGATGGCTCAAACACAGGTGAAAGTACAGTAAGATTCCTACCTTTAACCCTTTGCTGTTCATTCATGAAACACAAGTGCAAAAAATTGGAGACTGTTGAATTCAATTTGCACAAGTATGGTTGCTTGTGTTTCATGTTGTAATGTGTAATTTTCTATGCCTAATGTGTATCATGATGTTTGCATGATGGCTCCTTAGATCTGACCTAAACTTTAGTTACGAGAAGAACTAAATGTTTTTATCACTAGAAGTACTAGTATGAAGTGTCTAATCTAGGAAATTAGAGAAGAAAGTATTTTGGGAATATCTGCAATGATTAATGTGTGTTATAGTGTGCAATGTAATGTGTGATTGATTACAGTGCCCTGCATCATATTTGCTTAAAGGGGTCATATGATGCTATTTTAAAGATCATTATTTTGTGTATTTGGTGTAACAGAATATGTTGACATGCTTTAATGTTCAAAAAACACATTATTTTTCAAATACTGTACATTATTGTAGGTCCTCTATGCCCCGCCTCTCTCAAAAACGTCGTTTTCAACAAAGCCCCTCCTTTGACAAGCGCAGTCTGCTCTGATTGGCCAGCTGACCTAGTGCATTGTGATTGGCCGAACACTGCAAGCACTCGTCGGAAATGTAACGCCCCTTACCATAATCGCTTCAGCTTTCAAAGTAAATATCAAGACAGTTAATAATGTGGTTAGTTTTACCATCAGTTCAAGCCCGAAAGGGCAACAGAGTTGCATGACAGACACAGTGATGATGCAGTACACAAGCCGCGGTTAAAACCACTGACGTGCTATGATTTCTGACAGACAGTTCACTCTCCTGTGATGTGACCCTGTTCCCCTCACACACACACACACACACACACACACACGA